AGAACCCCCCATCCCCTCCAAAAGAAGTGCCCGCTCCCCCTAACCAAGTAGCAGCAAATCCAGGGAGGAAATGTCCCTGGATACTGGGAAAGCCCCCCCCCAGGCAACACTGGGAATGCCCCTTCCTGGGAGTTTGGGATCTGGCAGACTGGGAGTGAGCTCCTGGGGACACAAGGATCACCCCCTGGGACACCAGGATCCTCTCTGGGACACTGGGATCCCCCCGGGACACTGGGATCCCCCCCATCCCTTCTGAGGAACCTCCCCCTTCCCAGGCTCTATCCAGGGAGGAAGGAGCCCCCTGGGAACACTGTGCTCTCCCTTCCCAGGCTCCTGGGATCTACTAGGTCCCCCAGGACACCAGGATCTCCCCCTGGGACACCAAGATCCTCTCTGGGACACTGGGATCCCCTCTGGGACACTGGGATCCCCCCCATCCCTTCTGAGGAACCTCCCACTCCCCCTTCCCAGGCTCTATCCAGGGAGGAAGGAGCCCCCTGGGAACACTGTGCTCCCCCTTCCCAGGCTCCTGGGATCCAGTAGGTCCCCCAGGACACCAGGATCTCCCCCTGGGACACCAAGATCCCCTCTGGGACACTGGGATCCCCTCTGGGACACTGGGATCCCCCCCATCCCTGCTGAGGAACCTCCCACTCCCCCTTCCCAGGCTCTATCCAGGGAGGAAGGAGCCCCCTGGGAACACTGTGCTCTCCCTTCCCAGGCTCCTGGGATCCAGTAGGTCCCCCAGGATCTCCCCCTGGGACACCAAGATCCCCTCTGGGACACTGGGATCCCCTCTGGGACACTGGGATCCCACCCATCCCTTCTGAGGAACCTCCCACTCCCCCTTCCCGGGCTCTATCCAGGGAGGAAGGAGCCCCCTGGGAACACTGTGCTCCCCCTTCCCAGGCTCCTGGGATCCAGTAGGTCCCCCAGGACACCAGGATCTCCCCCTGGGACACCAGGATCCCCTCTGGGACAGTGGGATCCCCCCCATCCCTTCTGAGGAACCTCCCACTCCCCCTTCCCAGGCTCTATCCAGGCAGGAACGATTCCCCCCGGGAGCCCGGAAACACCTCCCGGCGCAGCGGGAACTCCTGGTTCCCAGGGGAAAGGGAACCCCTGGTTCCCAGGAGAAAGGGAACCCCCAGCTCCCTCACCACTGGGTTTCAGGTACTTCTTGGCGTGCAGGTAACTCTCCAGCATCCTCTCGTTGAAGAGCATGTAGCCCATGGGCTCAGAGATGATGATGTCCACCTGCTCGGGCAGCGCCACCTCCTCCACCTTCCCCGGGATCACCACGATCCGCTCCGTCAGGTTGTTGCTCTTCACCAACACCTGGGAAAACAGCCCCACCAGGAAATCCACCCGGGAGAGGGTGGGAGAAGAGGGTTGGGAAGGGAATTCCCGAGGGAGAAAGGAAAGGGGGGCCTGACCTCAGCGTGTTGGGCCATGGTACTGGCTTCTACTGCGTAGATTTTCCGGGCTCCGGCTTGGGCGGCGAAGAAGGAAAGGATCCCTGAGCCACAACCAACGTCCAGGACAATCTGGGATCAGGGAGAGGAGGGTGAAGGATCCCGGGGTGGATCCCGCTGGGAAAGCCTTGGGATTGTTAGGAGGGATGAGGGTGGAGGCAGGGGGGAGGTGGGAATGGGT